AAATCCATATATTTCAATACATTCTGTGAATGTAAAAGGACTAAATGCACCAATCAAAAGACACAGGGCATCAGAATGGATGCCAAAAAAAAAGATACATCTATATGCTGCCTACAAGAGACTCATTTTAGACCTGAGGATACCTGAAGATTGAAAGTGAAGGGATGGCAGGGTGCCTGGGTGGCTCAGTCAGTTAAGCATCCGAGTTCCACTCAGGTCATGATCTTGCAGTCTGTGGGTTCAGGCCCCATGTCAGGCTCTGTGCTCTGGAGCCTGCTTCAGATTCCATGTCTTCCTCTCTCTCTGCCCCTCCCCCATTTGCACTCTGTCTCTCTCTCTCTCGCAAAAATAAATTAAATTAAATTAAATTAAATTAAATTAAATTAAATTAAATTAAAAGAAAGAAAGTGAAGGGATGGGGAACCATCTATCATGCTTTGGGATGTCTATCCACTGATGAATGGATAAAGAAGTGGTATATATACACAATGGAAAACGACCCGGCAATGAAAAAGAATGAAATCTTGCCATTTGCAACAACGTAGATGGAACTGGAGGGTACTATGCTAAGTGAAATAAGTCAGAGAAAAACAGATATAGGTTTTCACTCATATGTGGAAGTAGAGAAACTTAACAGGAGACCAAGGGGGAAGGAAAAGAAAAAAAAAAATAGTTACAAACAAGGAGGCAAACCATAAGAGACTCTTAAATACAGAGAACTGAAGGTTGATGGGGTGGGGAAAATGTGATGGGCATTAAGAAGAGCACTTGTTGGGATGAGCACTGGGTGTTGTATGTAAGTGATGAGTCTACTCCCAAAGCCAAGAGCACACTGTATACACTATATGTTAGCTAACTTATATAAGTTAAATTATATATTATACATATGTATATATAACATATAAGCTAAATTATATATTTAAAAAAAACAATGTGTTTGAACTGAAATGACCAAATTAATATCGACTGTTATTTACTTAGGATGTTTATATATGAACCTCATGGTAACCACAAACCCAAAACCTATGATAGATACACAAAATAAAAAGATAAATAAAGCCAAACAGAACACTACTGGTACTCATCAATCACAAAGATAGAGAACAAAAGGTTCTCTATCTGCTGGTGGGAATGAAATATCATGCAGCCATTTTGGAAACAGCTTAGCAGTTTCTCAAGAAGTTAAACATAAAGTTACTATGTGGCCCAGCAATTCCACTTCTAAGTATATACCAAGAGAACTGAAAATGCATATCCACATAAAACCTTGTACACACACATTCATAGAAGCATTGTATGTAATAGCCACAAAGTGCAAACACCTCAAATGTCTACCAAGAGATGAAGAGATAAACAAATATGGTATATCTATACAATGGAATGTTCTTTAGCCATAAAATGGAATGAAATACTGATACATGCTACAACATAGATGAATCTTGGAAACATGCTCTGTAGAGAAGCCAGACACAAAAGGTCAGGTATTGTGATTCTACTTATATGGAATGTCCAGAAAAACAAATCTGTTGAAACAGAAAATAGATTAGTGGTTTCCAGGGATCAGTAGAGGGGCGAAACAGGGAGTGACTCCTAATGGATAGAAGATGTCTTTCAAGGTGATGAAAATGTTCTTGGAATTACATAGGGGTGATATTGCATAACTTTGTGATACATGAATACAGAAAACCGCCAAACTTCACACTTTTAAGAAGTGAATTTTATGGCATGGAAATTATATCTCAATGTGTTTAATTTCAAAAAGAAGATGATCTGAGCCAAAAAGAGAGTCCCCCCCAGGGCAGCTCTATATATTTCTAAGATATACTGCCCTGGTCCAGCCCAACACTGTCTCACCCCTGGATGACTGCAGTAGTGTCCTATTTGGTGTCCCTGGTTCCACCTTTGCCTCCCCACAGAATATTCTCACATAGCAGCCTACGTCAGACCATGTCAATTTTTCCAGTGAAATCCTCCAGTGGCCCACATCTCACAGAGCCAATAACCTTTCATTGTCCCTAGAGCCATCTGACCTGCTCCTAGTCACCTCCTACCCCTCTCCCTTGGTCCAGCTATTCCAGCCACAGTGACTTCCTTGCTTCTCTCAGAAGAAGGTGAGCTCATTCTGACTTAAGACTTTATCATTTGGTGTTCTGTCTAGAATTCTCTTCTCTGACATTTCCCCAGGACTCATTCCTTGACCTCATCCATTTCTCCATCGTCTAGCACCAGCAGGTCATTCCTCCAAAGGTCATTTTGTCAGCTGACTGTATCCCCAGCACTAGTAGTGCCTGGCAAAGAATAAGAGCTAAATCAATTGTTGTTATCATTGTTACTGTGGGCATTAATAATAACAAGTTGCAGAGGAGGGGAGACTGTGCCACTCCCTTTGAAAGTTGAGGTGCCTCACAAGGATCCATACCTACTGAGAAGGTAACTCTATCTCAGCACAGAAATGGGCCAAAGAAGTACATAGGGGAAGCCAAGATTTACCTCAAAAAACCTTTCAAGGGTGCTTCTGTATATGGGCAAGTAGTTTAGAATGTTATTGATTATATTACATATGTATCCATTACATGGAAGGCTATTCTATAAATTCTTTGCTGCTAGGCCTCAATCTGGTTCTCTTTAAACTCCCAATAGCAGCCTTTCTCAAGCTGTACTATTCATAGAAATTGCCTGAGGATCCTGTTAAAGTGCAAATTGATTCAAGAGGTCTGGGGTGGAGCCTGAGACTCTATGTTCCCAACAAGCTCCCAGACGATGCAGATCCTGCTGGTCCAGAACCACACTTTGAGTGCCAGGACCTTCAGCATCTAGCACAGGGTTTTACAATGTTGATTGATTGATGGACACTGGTGGATACTCGGTAGGTGGCAAGGCAGAGGGCAGGTTAATAAGGAGAGTTTATAGGCATTAGCAATTAGGGAAGTAGAAGCTAGAGCCTCTCTCTCCCCCTCCCTTTCCCCTTAGTCTTACTAAAAGTTCACTTGCACCCATCAGACACTATCCCTTCTCTGAGTTTTCCATCTTTTACTAAAGTATAGAAAGATGATGTACAATCCTTCCAGACAAATCCCTGCCCTTCACATTGTTGGTGCAGCATACCCTGGCAGGGTGACCATCTCATCCGGTTCACCTGAGATTTTCCAAGTTTTAGCACTAAGAGTTCCATGACCCCATTTTAAACTGAAAATCTTGTGTTCTAGGAAACCCCTCAGTCCCAAGAAAACAGGACAGTTGGCCACCCTACCTGTGCAAAGCACTCTGCATAGGGAATACGAACATGACAGGGTCCCATGTCTGCTCTTGAGGGGTCTGCAATCTAATTTAGGGGGTGGGGTAGGGGGGTGAAGTTGAACAAAGTTTGAGTGATGCAATGTAAGTTTATAGGAAGATCAAAGCCTCTAATAAATCTAGGGAGAAAACTATTTTAGCCCCTAAATTCAAACCAATAATTATTGGGTTCACAGAGATTATGATCTTTGACCCTGAGCACCACATATCATCTGATTCCTTCCTGAAACCACTAAGAAATAAGAGGAAGCTTACTCTGTTTTTGTGCAGATAGGGGGTAAGGTGGGCCTCATAATTCACTGTGCTAGGCAAAGTAAAGTCAGAAATGAGCTGTTCCTATGAGCAATGGGTCTATAGCCAGGAAGTGATGCTTTAAAAAAAATGTTCTAAGCCACAGTTCTTTGACCAAGAGAATAAACAATGACAAAAATCCTAGACATTAAGGAAAGTAGTTTTGTTCTAAAAACCTTATATCAACACATATCAGCATGAGCATTCCTGAGATGCTTGCAATCTGGATGGGTTGTTTTTAACTAGTTGTGCCCCTCAGAAGGCCTGGAGAGATCCTTGGTTCCCATAGCACTAATGTACAATCCTTGGGGCCAATGCTGATAAGACCCACTTCTCTCTGTGTACCCCACTGCTCAAATGGTAGTAGGCTTTGCATGCTGGCCAAGTATCCAACTGTACATCAGTCTACAAATATTTGTGTACATAAGGCCTCTGCTTCATATCTGCAATTTTTTTTTTTTACTTTTAAAGATCCTTTCCCACCTGTTGGCTCATATTAGTCTCACACAAAAGTAGGAGGCTTGTAAGTTAGACATCATTAGGCCCACTACATAGCTAAGACAGAATGGCACCACAGAAGAAGCAGGATACTGAGCATTTAAACATTCCTGTTTGCATTTAGTTCCACCTCTTTCTGTTGGAAAGCCTTGGGCAAGCCACTCTTCTTAGAACCACCATTATCTCCTCTAAAAGATAAAGATAATAATTCCATCTTTGGGGCATTTAGGGAGTGTGACTACCCAGAAGAGGTACTTAATAAAGTTATTAGGAAACTAAATCCCATACAAGTAACTGAAACTCCTAAGGTCACACATCTGACTTTTGCAGGACAAAAACCCAGGTACATGTCCTAACTTCCAAACTAGTATTGTTTTCACTAGACCAAACTGTCCCAGTGATTCAGTGACTAATCCAGTTATGCCTGACATCATCAGCCAACTATGATCCTTTACGTGGCACGTGACTTCATTTAAGTTCTCAAGTCTGTTGCTCATTAGGAAAAAAAAAAAATGCTGATGGCAGAAAACAAAAAGTTGTGAATCACAGTGGATATAGAATTTATCACACAAGAGGACTAGATTCCTGTATATAGGCAAGAATGTTAGCTTCAGGGAGTCAGATGCAATGTGGGGTGCTCCCCAGATTACCAATTTCTGCAGCTCTAGAAGGTTCCACAGCATCCAATCTTGGTTCCACGTGTAGGAAGAGGCCTTCACCACTAGCATTTATGGCACGACCAGAAGGTCTCACCAACATGGAGATTGGATGCATTCCAACAGGTAGCTGCTGTGTCTGACAGACCACATTCGTTTGGTTTGAGAAAATAACTCTGCAATTCGTTTTGTTCACTGTAACATCCAAGGCCTGAGGGTCAATAGAGAAACTAGTTCCAAAAATATAAACTAGTAGGTCCTTGTCACCATCTTAAAGAAGGAAAAAGATAAAAAGAACAAAGTTCTCATCACTCAGTGATATACTCCATTCAAGAAAACTCTCTCTAAAATCAAATGTTCATTCCCTCTCACCTTCCCCTCCCAAAATTCAAGGAGTTGAATGCTGACTCAAATATTGAGCATCTGTATTTATCATTACAGTATACAGCCCCCTTTTGAAATTTTCTCTAATAATAAGAGATCACTAGTTAATTTTTTAATGAAAAAAATGAAAATAAACAACATTTCAAAACAAGGGACAAAAAGAATAAAACATTGTAGGTTACCAAAACTCTACCTGATTCCATTTCACACCATGACCATAGCATTTAGATTGGACAAAAAATATACTTTCTGCTGCATCTCACAACGTCCACCCCATGAACTGATGCCCCTTCCCAAGTACATGGTCTTTAACAAATCACTCTGAATCTGAAGTTCATGACCACCCCAAGGCCAAGTCAAAAGTCATACCAAGGGAATACCACACAGAGTGGACCTGGGGAGTTGACCCTTCAAGGTACTGGAAAGAACAGGAACCTGAGCAATGGGCTGGTATGTCATTCACGTGCACAACCACCTGAAAAAAGGCAAAGTAATTAAAGGCAAATGTATGCATTTCATGTGCTCGAGAGTATTCATAAAGCACTTGTGAAATTTGCCCAAATTAACATGTTTAATGACTCATTTCTTCTCTTTCTTCTCTTTCACTATCAAACCCTAGTGAATGATTCAAACATGTTAGGCTTTCTTAAAATGATGGTAAGTATGCTGAAATCTAACATTTCTACACTATGCTAAATCTTGAGTAAATTTCCTCCCTGTAATAAATTTAATAAAATTCAAACTGCACAAGGACCTTCCTTTTATCATTCTAGATTATATTCAACTGGATACTTGTGAAAAGTCCTTTCTTTGCTGGTACATGCCAACAAAGTAGGCACCTTCCTTCCACCATACTACATAGATATGTTACTGAAGAATACAGTGTACTTGGACATTGGTTTGGGGTCTTTTGTCCTCAAATGGTAGGTCCCCACTAGGATACTACATGACTTTTCCTCTCACTGTTACTAATGTTAATCTGGTAGAATTCTACAATACTTGGAGATGAGGAAGGTGAAAAAGATGGGACTTGTTGGATGCTCTACATATAAAACATGGATTAAAAGCACACACCATAGGAGCACCTGGTTGGTTCAATCAGTTGAATGTCACACTCTTGATTTTGGCTTAGGTCATGGTTTCACAGTTCCTGGGATCAAGCACCGCATTGAGCTCTGCCTTCTTGACCCCCAGCCTGCTTGGGGTCCTGTCTCTCTATCTCTCCCCCACTTGTGCCCATGTTCATTCTCTCTCCCTCTCAAACTTAAAAAAAAAAAGCACACACTACATTATAATACTGTAGGGAAAGGATATTGGGATGGCATGAAGGCAGAGGTGATAACATTTCAGTTTTGGGGTGCCTGGGTGGCTCAGTCAGTCAAGTATCCAACTTTGGGTTAGGTCATGATCTCATTACTTGTGGGTTCAAGCCCAGTATCGGGCTCTCTGCTATCAGCACAGAGCCGACTTTGGATCCTCTGCCCCCTCTCTCTGCCCCTCCCCCACTCTTCTCGCTCAAAAATAAATATTAAAAAAAAAAAAGAACATTTTCATTTTACCTATTTTATTCATAAACACACACAAAATATAATCAAAATGTTGGAAACTACTAATCTTTGGTTTGGATACTGAAGTACTGGTTATATTATTCTTTATAGTTTTCTTATTTTATAATTTTCTCAAAAGGAGATGACTTATAACAAGAATATGGTCAGATGAGAAATACAAAAAGATATTTTTAAATGTTTGTTTATTATTTATTTTGAGACAGCCTAAGCAGGGGAGGGGCAGAGAGGGAGGGAGAGAGAGAATCACAAGCAGGCTCCACCCTGCCAGCACAGAGCTTGACGCAGGCATGAGATCATGACCTGAGCCAAAGTCAAGAGTTGGACACTTAACTGACCGAGCCATCTGGTGCCCCAAAAAAAGACATTTTAAAGAGGAAAAGACACTGACTTAGCTCATTTACTTTCCAGTCCCACTGTGTGGAGGTATAAATCCTATGTAGCCAGAGAGGCTCTCCATTTTTTGTACCATAATAATAGCATGTTGTGTTTACAAAGAACTTATATTTTTGGAGTGTTTTTCATGCACCGTGGAAATAGAAAGATGACAGCCATAATCATCTGCTTAATGCATTGGAAAACTGATCCTTGAAACTGGTCCATGTTACAAAACAGGAAGGGACTGAGACACTTGAAACTACTACTTGTACTTTGGGTGGGCCATCCACTCTCACCTGAGTGCACTGGTTGGCAGTAACCAACATGTCTCCAAATATGGGTCCAAGAAAAACTCCACCATCATAGACCACACGCATGGTTGCCTCAGGGTTCACTCCAGTTAGATTCTCATCAGAGACCTGAGATGGTTACATTTCTGGTGAATTCTGTGATAGAACAGAAGTCTAATCTAATGGAAGTCTATATCTAATGATAAAGTGTCTTTTCACATTTTATTGAAGGTAACCAGATAGCTAGAAGGTGAAGATGGGGTGACAAGGGTTGAAGCCTGGAAACATAAGAGTAAGTAACAGCTCATGAAAGCCCCAATAGACTAGACGAATATCTATTTGCAAGCAGAGTTGTCAAAAAAGGCACAAAAAACAATCTTCTCTGTCTTGAGATATTTTATTTCTATACACTTTTCTATTTTATATGTTTGCAGTCCAAAATATTAAAATAAAAGGTAAGGGAAAAAAGTTCTATGAGAGGATTCTCATCCTTCTTCCAACTCCACTCCAGTATTTTGTTTGAAAACCAAATGACCTACAATACCATGGAACAGGGATAAAATTTCAGCTTGGGTTTCATTTTGTAATAACCAAATGCTAGATGATCATTAGATTATTTTTTAAAACCCTAAATATGCAAGAGCATCTGGTTTTGTTGTTATCCAGAGACAGCAAATCCTTTTCTAAACTTCCTTCTGCTGTGCCATCTGCCTCCATGATAATCTAAGTCAATCACATCTGCTTAAATTATCCAATAACAGATGTAAAATTATTATATGGTGGACACTGACCAACAACTACCTACCCTAAGTTAGGGAAGGAGATGTTGCGTTTAAATTGCTTTTTTAGGGACATGAGATACAAAACATGTCTTGAAAACTTCCCAAAAAAAGATCATTGAACCCCTTTACTTGAATATTAGAACAAAATAGATAATTTGTGACAGTTTTCACTCATGTAATTCTGGGGTTTTTTCCACAAAATTGCTTCAGAACACCAAATCCACACTACCAAAAGGGATACCATACATACCCTGATGAAATTGGGCAAATCTCCAACCTGGTTGGACCAGGAGAGGGTCCACACACGTTCATAGCAAGACTTCAGATCCTCCATTACAGTGAAGTCACTGACGTTGAGGTACCTAGATGTAAAGTTATCGGCATTGTTCTGTAAGAGCTTGCGCAGGTGACTAGCTGAAATACTCACAGGAACATCTGTGGGACAAGATTTTGATACATAAAAAAAAGATACTAATTACCACACAGGGTTTCATCATTAAAATTAGAGAATAAATGTCAAGATGCCCACTAAATATGCAGAAGACCCTCAAGTTCAAACTATGCTTTCAAAAGAAATCCCAGCCCAGTTAAACCATTTGTTTCCTACAGCAAATACAAGTAGTTGCCTACTTTTTACATTGTGATACCTTTAATCAGGATCCCATCTCACAGCAAGCACAGAGCATAGTCACATCAGACAAAACTATCTCAACTGTCAACTCAAAATATACACTCCAGACACCCTGGTAATGCCTGAAAGCCTAATTAAATATTGGGTTTTCCCTGGAAAAACTTAGCCGACCCTGTGAACAGAGAAAAGCTGGCCACTTTTCACAGGGGGGGGGGGGGAGGGGTAGGCGCACAGCAGCTGACACCCATAAAAACTTAGCCAACCCAGCTGAGGAATGTTGGCATTTCACTTTGGTTTCTCTATTAGAATTCTTTTAAGCTCAACCACCTGCTTCCCCATTCCACATCCCCACAGAGAAATAACAACACTCTGTGCTTAAGCCCTGCTTGTGTTTGAACCCTGATTCTTGCTTTACCAAAAGTTTCCATTTCATTAGCTACTCCCAACAGCCCTGTGAGGTAGGTCATTTGGATATCCTAACACCTAACTTTAGAGATGAAGAGAATGAGACCCAATGAGATTCAGAAGCTTGCCAACCAAGCGAGACAGAATTACACTTAACCCAGAATACCTTCCAACTACTCAAGAGTCTTCCTCTTGAATTCCACACTGCCTTGGAGTGTTAATAATACACCACTATATTTCTAAAGGACAAACAAGATTCTCCTCCTTTTAAAAAAAGGTTGTTCTGGGGTGCCTGGGTGGCTCAGTCAGTTGAGCATCCGACTTCGGCTCAGGTCATGATCTCATGGTTCACGGGTTCAAGTCACTCACTGCTCACTGCTATCAGACTCACTGATAGGACTCACTGCTATCAGAGTAGAGCCCACTTTGGATCCTCTGTTCCCCTTTCTGCCCCTCCCCCACTCACTCTCAAAAGTAAATGAACATTAAAAATAATAATAATAATAATATAATAAATTTAAGAAGGTTGTTCAACATTTACCTAATGGGGCCATTGCCACTTCTAAAGGCCAAGTTAAGGCGGACTTTCCTGGATTGTTTTCAGTGAAGTGAAGAGCATCACAATAGAACATGGTGGCAGGAGGAGTATGTGCAGACAGGCTGCAGCTCATGAAAAGGGAAGCAAGACCCAGGGATGGGGCTTTCATTGACACAGGGCACTATTGGCACCTACCCTTTATCAGACACCAATAGCCCATGGCCTTCAACTTTTTCTAAGTGGCCCTCTTAAAACACACCTTTCCTGTCACCCAAGAAGATTCTCGCGAGTCCAGCATCTTTCTTCTTGGAAGAGCAAAAGACTTTTGGACCATGTGCCAATTTTTATACAGCCACTCTTGCACTCTCCTGAGCCTCCTTTCCGATTCTCCTGTGGTTTTACCATATAAATGGCCTTCACTTCTATTCCTTGTTCTTTGTGAAATGTGTTTATTCTTGAAGATTTAGAAAATGTTCTACACTAATCACATTGAAAGCTCTTTCTACATTGTTATGACCACTGACATTCTCAATAGCATATGGTGTCACCATGGAGTTTACTGTGGAAGGACCATGGCTACTGTAGATCTTGGCCTAGGACTGATCTGATAAATACCTGAGTTCACATTCAGACCCTGCCATCAACTACTTGTATGACCTCTGGGCAAGTTCCAGTATATTAGGCTCAATGGTGGCCTTCAGAAAGATAGGTCAATGCCCTAATCCCTGGAACCCATGAATATTTCCTTATAAGGCAAAAGAGTACATATTATACTATGTTGCAAAAGATGTGGTTAAGGATCTTGAGGAGTTTATCCTGGGTTACCCAGGAAGGCTCTAAATGCAATCATATATATTCCTATAAAAGAGAGACAGAGGAGGTTTTGAGACAGAAGAGGAAGAGACACTGTGACCACAGGAATTGGGGTGACTTAGCCATGGAATGCAGGCAACCACCAGAAGCTGGAAGAGGTAAGAAATAGATCCTCCCCTAGAGCCTTCGGAGGGAGTGTGGCACTGCTGACGACTTGATTTTGGATCTGTGGTCTCCAGAAATGTGAGAGAATAAATTTCTATTATTTTAACCCACGAAGTGTGTGGCGATTTGTTACGACTGTCCCAGGAAGCTAATCCGCAGAGTTTCTACATCTACAAAAAGTTGGGATATTAACAATAATATGGTACTGTTTTTGTCCAGATCTTTAATTGTAAGGTCACTTTCAAATGCTGGAGAAATCAACAAAACAACTTTAAGACTGTCACTCTTCCTGACAATCTCTCAAAGTGTTGTTCACCTGGGAACGCCCCTAAAAATGGAAATGAGAAATTGGTGCACTCCAGTTGCCCCTTTACCAGGAATCACTGTAGTAGGGAGTTGGATGCGGAAGTATCCTCCTAAAGGTGGACTTGCCCTCTGTATTCTCTGTGTTGTCACCTGGACCAGCATGGGTTCTTCTTCTTCACCTCCAGTGGGCAGAGAGCTGTGGCATGTTAAAACCAAAGCATTAACCACAGTAACCATCAAGAAGTGCCACTCTAGAAAGAACAGGACTCCATCTCGAAGACCAAGTAGTCCGCCGTGTTTCCAGGACACAATCTCAACCTCCCAAATATTGGGCGTCCCTGTCCCATCATGGAAGAAGCGTAAATATTAGGATTCTTTCAGAGTGTTCTACCCTTCCCCTGCACTGATCCTGGGAACACATGGACGCAGAGTAAAAAGTGACGACTCCGGCCTCCACACCTCTGGCCCTGAAGCACCGAGGGGACAGAGAACTTGGAATCCTCCAATCCCACTTGCATCACCAATGAGGAGTCAGTGCCCTGTTCCACAGATGCTTCCCCACTCTCTATCCCCGCCTGAAACACAGGCCACTCCATCTAGCCAACTGCTTAGCTAATGCCGGTGTACACAGTGTCTACCGAATCTTGCTTTTAATATAATAAATGGGCCAAACAAATCATGACACACTATGAGACAGAATACCATTCAGCCAATGAAATCACATTTTAGAAAAATTATCACATTGCCCATTAATGATATGGGGAAATACTTAATTCATACCATTATGTGAAGAAGGTACATTGCCAAATATAATATGTAATTTATGGTCCCAATTTGAGGTTTAAAAAGCAAATACAGAGAGCCAAAGCATAAGAGACTCTTAAAAACTGAGAACAAAC